AGACATATCATACGCAATTGTATTGATACTGAATTGTGGAATAAAATTGAAGTGTTTGTTAAAATTTCAAAGTACTACTTTGTTTGCCAATCAGCACGCGACAATACGCTGTTCAAACTATTGAACGAAATTGTGTGGATTGTCGATAAGGCTGACATTTTTAATTTTAAATATAAATTATAAGTTAAAAAAGAACATAAGAGGCAGAGAAAACGTAAATATAAGTATTGAACTGTTTTTGTATGGTATTTATGATCTATTTGAATGACACAGCTTTGCAAGCAAACAAATCATAATGCGCTAGTTTGCAGTTGTTCGATCGATGAAAATATATATTGAAATATGGAGTATTTGTGAGAAATCAATATTCGAGGAGAAATAATTCAACATACCTGGTATACTACTACAATAATGAAACCAAAGGGAGTAAGTCGTTTGATTATGTCAGATAATAGGTGTATAAAAATCGATGCATCTTACCTAAATTTTTCTTGTTGAATGTTTCCCCAAGAACAAATTGTGCTTCATTCTGATAAAAAAAAGAAAGGAAAAAGGTGATGAATCAAAAAAGATAAAACATAATAAAAACTACACACAAATGTATGTATATAACCTTATGTAGGTTCATCTGTTATATTCTTACAGTCACTTTGTTAATGTAAGCCTCATAATTATATAGTTCCATCTTATCTAGCTGAACAATAAGAAAATTGAATTCAGCTAACATCAAACCAGCATGACCTCTGAAGGTACACAGTACAGTACATGTCAACCTCGCACCAATAACAAGCTATTAAACTGATTTAATGTTATATATTAAGCTCTCAAAGCCAGCAGCAGACACCTTCTCTTCTGCACAACTCTGGAGACTGGAACAAAATCTGAAAAATTAGACAAAAACAACCTTACACACTCCTTTGGGAGTCACCAGATTTGCCATCTTTTTTTGCCAATAAGCCTAAAACCTTAAAATATTGTCTATAAATATGTCTAAAAATAATTAGTATCTAGCTGTGAATTTGGATCACTAAAACGTGAAGTACAAAGCCTGGAGACACACTATATATATATATGATCTATGGGAAACAACTCCTACAAACAACCTACAAACACAGCCTATAAAGCATAAGGGAAATAACTCTTGCAAACAAAAGACCCTTTGAAAATAAGTCTGAAGAATTTATTGTCAAGAGGATTTATGAGAAATTTTTATACTGGACTGATTTAAGAAATGATCGAGTCATCATGAAATGAATTTTTTACAAGAATCTATTGATTGAAAAGGCATTGGAGGTACTTGGGATTATTTTCAGCAGAGCCAATTCAGATTGAATTGAGATCTGCCATGCTTAGTTGCAAAACCCTAGCATTATGTGGCGCCACTGGTAGGGTTGCCTTATTTAATTGGCCAGTGAACCGGTTTAATAAAAAGCAGATTTGAGGTCAAAAGTAAAAGCAGATTTGACTTTAAAAGCATGTCTGAAAATGATAGTTGTCTCCTTAAAACATATGAGTTAAGAATGACGTTTCTCAAGATAATTAAATCATACAATAACATTCATAGTCAATGTTTAATTACCTTTTAACTTTTCCTGTGTAGAGTTGCTTTTATCAGAATGCTGTAATGTGTTATACACACAAAACCATTTTTTTTACTTTATTACCACCAACATTAAAAATCTGCTGTTTATACATTTTTTTCAAAATGTCACTGATTTTCAATGTTGATTCACTACAGCTCTGATCTCTGTAGTTAAAAATGTTATTGATTTTTTATTTTTTTATTTTGCCCATATAAAAAATCTTATTCTTAAAAGTTTGTGCAGCCAGTTCACTTCACCTAAGCAAAGGTTTGCTACCAGACTTCATTGCATATACTAGATAATGGCTAAAGTTTGCCACGTAACTTTATTTATTTTAAATACATGTACTGTAAACTGGTGATTTTTTCACTTACATTTATCTATTTACCTATGTAGAGTCTGACAGATGTTTACCACTTAACTTACTTTAACAGCTCACCTGGTATTTTATTTTCAATTTTAAACCTGCAGAGTACCATTCATTTGAACAAACTTGGTAGCCCATCATCCCATCATGCTACTGGCCAAAGATCATCACCCTTAACTGGCATTTTGGTTATTCTGAAGAAGTCGTTTTAAGGTTTTAGACATATTTGATCACTGTGACCTTGAATATGGGTGAAGGTCATTCATTTGAACAAACTTAGTAGCCCTTCATCCAAGCATAATTTTGGCCAAATATCCTCATCCTGGGTTTTTTGGTTATACAAAAGAAGTTATTCAAAATGTTTTTTAAGACAATCGACCCCTGTAGCCTTGACTATGGGTGAAGGTCATTCATTTGAAAAAATACTTGGTAGCCTATCATCCTAGCATGCTACTGGCCAAATATCATTACCCTAGGCTTCTTGGTCATTCAGAAGAAGCCATTTCAAGGTTTTAAACATATTTGAACCCTGTGACCTAAAATATAAGTCAAGGTCATTCGTTTGAACAATCTTTTAGAGAAAAGTAGATCAAAGGAATATATCTCCGGAAAAAAAGTAAAAACTGATCATAAAATGTAAATCTCAGGTGTAGGGGATACAATGGATCAGGAGAACAATAACTTCTTTACCTATCTATCTAAGAGGCACAGAGCCCTTACCTTTCAATCTAATTGTACAAAAATGCACACTGGCCTTACCTTACCTTTTTATCCCACCCCCGTAGGTTGGGTATCGGGAAAAGAATACACCTGCTATTACCCATTACATGTATCGTAAGAGGCAACTAATGTGGGAACCCCCTGCAGAATCGTGATTTTGCTTTTGCGTCCTCTACTTGGGGACACAAAAGTGACCAAAATAAATCTGCTGCATCCATTGCAATATTTGGGATCTTTACCTTCCTTTCTACTTCTAACTACCTTTTATTTCCTAGCGCCTAGCATTCGCCCAGGTGGGGAGGCAATGGGTTCTGTCCCAAGGCCGGGACAAACTCAAGTTCTAAAAAATGGTTGTTGTTATTCCCTGCTTAACGTTCAGCATCGAGGGTAATGGCAACAACTGGTTCACCCGTTCGGCATGGTGTTTCAGTGATATAGCACTATGAAGTCGGCATCAGATCTGCGCTATTACAAGGCGGCATGTACACCAACATACCCGGTCTCCAACATACATACACACTTGCACGCTGACACAACACACATGGAGGCACATCCTTAAATGACCTTAGCTGTTAATAGGACGTTAAACAAAATAAAACCAAACCAACCTTTTTATCCACGATTACTGCTGCTGGTGTGTTGATATCAATGGGGTAGCCAGGTACCAATCTTTCTAGAAACACAGAATGATGCTTTATGTCCATTACATGTAAGTTCAGGGTTCTGTTACTCCTGCAGTGTAATCCAATCACCTCCTCTATACCAAGGCGGTCAAAATCCTTGATAAAATCAAATGGTGATGTCAAATTCTGTTCCTCCTGCAATTTTAGATTTCTGCATAGGAGATTTTGAAAAATAGAATTACTTTTGGCTATAAAAGGGTCAGTCGTTTTTCTAGAAGAACACTTATCATCTGACAGCATATTATAGCTACACTCCTTACAACATAACGTCCGGTATTCATTTGTGTTATAGTCTTGAGCAGTATTTAGACACTGGGGTGGAGTATGAGCAAGACCACTGAGCATAACTCCAGCTGAAAGACTTGTGGGTGTGTCTATCATACACAGGTGTGACCTCTCCTCCAGGGAAGGGGTGGTTTTCACATGTTTACAGTACTCGCACACAGTTTGAGAGTCCTCCCCACTATATTCTTTACTATGACTAGTCACCAAGGAAACACAGCAGTTTTTGTCATGACTTGGAGGCATGTACAACATGCTTTTATACACTTGTTTGTGTCGACATTGGTCTGTCTGTTGTAGGTGTCCCTCCAAACTTGCTGACCGTTGTCTTATACTTAGCTCAACGGCATCATGTAGGAAAAGACTGTTATTACAATTCAAGTAGTGTAAAGCAACTTCACGGACCTGCAAGGAGAAGAAATGGGATGACGAGTACTTTCATTTAAACCATCAAAACAAAAACAAATACTTTGAGCAAAACAATTTTTAATAAAGAGGCCAAAACTTTGATCAACAAAAACAGTTTTCCTTATAGAATCTGAAACAAGCATTGAACTTATGAAAATTCATTTGTGTTGCGCAACCATAACATGTGCAGTGTGCAACACACGAAAATATATTATTTGTAAATAGGTATTTCTGGCTTAATAATAAATGATGAAAACAACAAGCATGGGAAATAAAACCAAAATAACCATGAAAATCACTTCAATATACATTCATATAACTACGTTATCAGTGCATGCCTTACAGTTCATAAAATGCAAAAATTCCATACAATATGATAACAAACAAGAGGCCAATGGGCCTAACAGTCACCCGAATCCTACAGTATTTATTTTTGTTGTTGAAATATGTACCAATTTGAGTAAAAAATAGTTAAGTATAACATTAACTTAAGTTTGTCAGGACCATGAGCTGATCATTCCTAGACCGAGTTTCAGTTAAATTGACCTATTAGAACTTGTTTTTATGTTTGAAATAGTTATTTTCAAAATAGCGGCCGTGGCAGCCAAATTGTATTTCTGATCAACCCGAAAAATAACAACACTTTGTCAAGACCATGAGTCGATCTTTCCTACAAAGTTTTGGTTTAATCGGCCCATTAGAACTTGACTTTAAGGTTGAATTATTTTTTCATAATGGTAGCAGTGGCAGCCGTTATGGATTTCTGATTGACCCGAAAAATAACAACACTTTGTAAGGACCATAAGTTGATATTCCAACCAAGTTTCAGTTTAATCGGCCCAGCAGAACTTGACTTTAAGTTTGAAATAGTTTTTCAAAATGGCGGCCGTGGCGGCCATATTGGATTTCTGATTGACCCGAAAAATAACAACACTTTGTCAGGACCATGAGTCGATCATTCCTACCAAGTTTCAGTACAATCAGCCCAGCAGAACTTGACTATAAGTTTGAAATAGTTTTTCAAAATGGCGGCCATGGCGGCCATATTTGATTTCTGATTGACCCGAAAAATAACAACACTTGGTCAGGGAGATGTCAGTAACCTTCCCATGAAATATTAATGAAATCCTGTTGCCAGTATTTCAGCTTAAGTTGAAAATGTAAAATGTTAACAGACAATGGACGAAGCTAAAGTTCAGGTGACCTAAAAATTATATAACTTCTTTGAATTAAAAGCAAATCATCAAAATATACCAGATATTTAGCCTGACAACTGAAGTCCCAAACATCTACCTGTGTGGTAGTTGTTATGTATGAAGATGTGTTAATATTTCATAAGCAAACATGACAATGAATTATATGAATTCATTTAGAATGACATAAATGACCTAATGATTGCCACTCAGGATACTAAACAATGACCACAAAGTCTGAACAAAAAAACAATGACCACAAAGTCTGAACAAAAAACAATGACAACAAAGTCTGAACAAAAAACAATGACCACAAAGTCTGAACAAAAAACAATGACCACAAAGTCTGAACAAAAAACAATGACCACAAAGTCTGAACAAAAAACAATGACCACAAAGTCTGAACAAAAAACAATGACCACAAAGTCTGAACAAAAAACAATGACCACAAAGTCTGAACAAAAAACAATGACCACAAAGTCTGAACAAAAAACAATGACCACAAAGTCTGAACAAAAAACAATGACCACAAAGTCTGAACAAAAAACAATGACCACAAAGTCTGAACAAAAAACAATGACCACAAAGTCTGAACAAAAAACAATGACCACAAAGTCTGAACAAAAAACAATGACCACAAAGTCTGAACAAAAAACAATGACCACAAAGTCTGAACAAAAAACAATGACCACAAAGTCTGAACAAAAAACAATGACCACAAAGTCTGAACAAAAAACAATGACCACAAAGTCTGAACAAAATAGTTTAAATATCATCATGATAATGAAAGACCAGACAAACTACAACCTACCATGTTGTAATAGTAATTATATGTGTGTAGCTGGTTGATTGGGATGAACACTAACACAGCTGATCCTCTGTTTATTGCTGTAGATAAATGCTGCGTCTTGTGACCAGGGGGAGATAACCACTTTACAACAGGCTGAAAATGAAGGATCAATATTTACCAAAATAATGTGAAATACAAACAATCATACAGTATAAAATCATGGCAAATATCGGACACTTTTTCTCACACACTGTTTCAACTTCAAAACACTATCAACTGCTGCATACATACCAATGATTATCTTTTGTCAAGCTTTCTCCGAACTGGTAAAATCTGTATTCACCAAGTGTTTACTTGCAATAGCTACATGTGGTATGTTGAAAAAAAAAATCAAACCTTAACTGCGTAAATTGCATTATACAGTATTACTGACATTTGGCAAGATACATGCTGTAAAGACTGTAGAAATGTACAGATAAAATATTTGTGACATTCCTTAAGCTACAAACCTGCTGTTTGTGAAGTCTGATCCATTGTGTTATGTCTTCATCTGTGAAGTTGTTGTTTTGAGGATAAATCTAAAAATTTAATAAAAACACAAGTTTTATCTGTTATCCAACTAGATTGAAAGTACAAACATGTAATTGATTACCAGGAATGACTTTGTATCACCTCTTGTCCACCTATTGTAAGACACCTAGCTGTTGTTAATGGGACAACCAACCCTATAAACCACAACCACTCAGTGCTGTAGCCTTGACCTTGGAGTACAGATATAGAGTTGACCTTGGAGTACAGATAAAGAGTTGACCTTGGAGTACAGATATAGAGCTGACTTTGGAGCACAGATATAGAGTTGACTTTGGAGTAAAGATATAGAGTTGGCCCTGGAGTACAGATATAGAGTTGACTTTGTAGTACAGATATAGAGTTGACCTTGGAGTACAGCTATAGAGTTGACCTTGGAGTACAGATAAAGAGTTGACCTTGGAGTACAGATATAGAGTTGTCCCTGGAGTACAGATATAGAGTTGCCCCGGGAGTACAGATATAGAGTTGACCTTGGAGCACAGACATAGAGTTGACCTTGGAGTACAGATATAGATTTGACCCTGGAGTACAGATATAGAGTTGATCTTGGAGTACAGATATAGAGTTGACTTTGTAGTACAGATATAGAGTTGACCTTGGAGCACAGACATAGAGTTGACCTTGGAGTATAGATATAGAGTTGACCTTGGAGTACAGATAAAGAGTTGACCTTGGAGTACAGATATAGAGTTGCACGCATCCTGGAGTACAGATATAGAGTTGACCTAAGAGTACAGATATAGAGTTGACCGTGGAGTACAGTTATAGAGTTGACTTTGGAGTACAGATATAGAGTTGACTTTGTAGTACAGATATAGAGTTGACCTTGGAGCACAGACATAGAGTTGACCTTGGAGTACAGATAAAGAGTTGACCTTGGAGTACAGATATAGATTTGCCCTTGGACTACAGATATAGAGTTGACCTTGGAGTACAGATATAGAGTTGACTTTGGAGTACAGATATAGAGTTGACCGTGGAGCACAGACATAGAGTTGACCTTGGAGTACAGATATAGAGTTGCACGCATTGTGTAGTCATGATACATCCATCAATGTATTTTTTGTCCCATGACATTTGTTGAAAAACATCCCATCAGTAAAGTTTCATGAAAGAATACAGAGTTGTTCAGAAGTTATGGCCTATAATAATCCCATTACTCAATCTTGACCCCTTGATGTAACGCTTACAAAAATTGCATGTGACATGTTGCCAAGTCTCATTAGAGTTTCATGCAAAATTCCTCAGTTGTTTAGAAGCTATAACCAGGACAATAATTGCAGTAATTTGACATTTGATCTCCTGCCATGACCTTGATCTTGGAGTGCAGATCAGAGATTTCCACACAGCCCATTGGTTGTTGTACTTCAATCTATCAAGTTTTGTTAAAACAATATTGATATGTGAAGATGTTAGGGCCCAAACAAGAAATTGGGACAGACAGACTGACATGCAATCTCATAGTCACCTTGGTCAACAGTTGAGTGTATGACATTGATGAGATATCTACTTCTTGTTTAAATGTATCTAAATTAGTTTGTCTCATGATTTAAAGAGAAAAACGTTCTGATCCATCTTACCGCGTAATATAATATAAAGTTTTGCCAAGAAATCTGAAATACCACATTATTTCAGATTGACCTTATAACAACATTCTAGTACATGTCTGACTTACCAAGGTGGTATTTGTCAGTCGGTGCAAAATCAAACTTTTGGTGTTGTGTAAACCAAGAAGACTTGCAAGGTTTGGCTGTGTGATAATGGCTGTGCGGACTGGCTGACTAAAGTCTGTAAACAAAATAAAAGAATTCAGGCAATATGAAATAACAAGTAACATCAGGTTCCTTTTAAAATGATAATTTCTATCAAGTTACATTTAGATTGAGACATAATATGAAGGACTAATCTTGCAAAATACTGGTTGTTTCTTTAAAATTGCCTGTCCTAGATATGAGGGCATAAGGGCGAGTGCTATGGGGACCTGCATGAGATAAATAGAAGCACAAGGTTTAACTACTTGACCAGACATCCATATGGTGAATTTATATAGTCCATATCTACTAAACTGACATCACTGCATGTTATCATTTTTGGGGCTTCTTTTTGGCAATTAGGTGGGTGTACATCTAGAATGCCAAATTTAAATTGCCCAAAAGATGACATTTGCTTAACAAAATTGTAGGAAAATTTTCAACAAACACCAACAAAGAGCTCAAAGATTTGTTGGAAAGTAAATCAATACCTTATTCTTTAAAAATAATCTCATAGCATTACGTCAATCCCAACAATTAAACTTGCCAAACATTTTAACTTTAATTACCTACAGGATGACATTGCCAAAATAGCCCACTGAATGGTATATACCCAAGCACTAACCTTCTTCAAGCAGCCTCATAGCAGTGATATAAAACTGGCGGTAACCGAGTGGCTGAGGGGAGGCATGGAAGTCAAAGAATCCTATCATCACATTCTGTGAACAAAGACAAACATGTCTAATTATATTAACTTATTTAGATATTTATTGATTCAAGATCATTGTTAAACAATCCCACAAAAATGTAAATTTAATAGAAATGTATGAAGACTTAGGCAATTCATCACACAAAATTTATTTTGAAATGTTAATAGAAGGAACAGCAATATGGCAAAGTTTTTTTCTAAATAGTAAAGACTTTAATCTGTCATTTTGAAATAAGAAGATGATGAAAAAGGCGCCACATGTCTTAAGTAATGATTTTCTATAGATATTGTAATGACTCTTTGAATACAGTCTGAATGGGACCTCACTAGGTCAGAATGGTGCATGAACCAATAAAAAAACAGATAATTTTTTTGCATCAAGAAAATGTTTTCAGTCAAACAGTTTTTTCTTTTAAAATTATAGGTCCAGATTAAAGAGATTCCACTCTATATAAGATATTTGGGCTGGCAATATAGTCAATGTCTTCTAATCAATAATTTATTGATTTGTCAAAAGTGAAATAGTTAAATGATACTGATTTGAACTACTTGGTAGTCCTTTCTGGTGATTTCTTCAAAAAGCTGACTGACACAATAAAGTTTCCTCGATCTTCAATTACAACATGACCAACAGGGCTTACTACTAGCCTGAGTTTTCCCTTTCTTGATAGTAACAGCCCTATACATATTTCCCAAACAAACAGTGTTTACATGTTGCAGTTGATTCAGTATTCAAAAGCTTGCTCCCAATATCAAGAATCCTATGATAAATGTTGACTGCTGACCGACAAACACAGGGTTTCCAGAGATGCACAATGCTTAAGGCTATTAACAAGTTTTACAGTTACCATAATATCATTGGGAAATATCTATAAGTTTCTTTAGTATGCTATGGAATTTTTTTCATTAAGCCCAATTAATAGTGTGCCTTGGGGTGTTGTCATGCCCCTGCTCTTGCTTTGAGGACATTATTTTTGGATTTGACCTACATTTACTTTGTGGGTGTTGTCACTTAAGCAGAAGATGCTTACTGTGTCAGAATGCCTGATCTTATCCCCATGTACTTATGGTATGTAGGTATGGGGATTTAGGTTAATCTTTCCTAAATTCATAATTTTCACAAGTTTCATCAATTTTAAGTTGAATGTACAGTTCTATCAATGATTTTTACTTTTCCCCCTACAGTTATTTTACAACAGTTAGAAATTAGTGGTATTTATTTATGTTAGGTCACTTCCTCCAAAGCACTGAATACTAGCTCAGATAGACAGATGTACAGACACCATGATAAGTATATGGAAATGAAATCTGAGGTGAAACTTGAATTATTCAATATCATTCCAATACATTTGAAAACTGAAATCAAAATTAACTAAAGCTGGCATCAGTATTCAGCTGGTTTCTCGTTATATATGTCAGGTGAAAGAAGCTTGCTTGCCTCTAAAAATAAATGTATGTTTGAATATGCCCACTTTCAGCAACCACACTATGTGTTCATTCATTTTGTCAAATGAAGTTTTAGCTCTAGGCATTGGAAGGAATCTGAATTGATTTCATTTATCAATGAACAATTCTAAACTTTAATTCATCAACAAGTGAAGGTCGTTGTGACAATCAATGTTCATGCTAATGTTATCCCAATAATCAATACCTCTTAAGAAATATTAATTACTGTCGCTGCAAAGCGTTGCCTGGCAGGTGACTTGTCATTAAATATATACTTGCATCGTATCTCGAGTTAAACTCCTTTATTTGTTCTCGTGTGTGTAGTATCTTCAATGGGTATAGGATATCTTCTGTGTATTTAATCATATAAGCTGCTGTTGGTATCCCTACAACGGCAAAAAAAGGTTCACAAAACATTCCAAACATCCTGTCAGGTTATAGAATTAGTAATAAAGTTTACAACATTCATAATGATGGTTATAGATAAGAATAAAATTATAAGTATGCGTTTATCTTTAACAGTTCATTTTATACTACATGCACATTGTATACTAAGACTGCTATGCAGTGAAAATGTACTACTAAATTGCCATCACATACATTTTCCATATGTAACATATAGGTACTGTAATCCATTGTGAACAATGATGACAGAATTTCAATGCAAAGACTAAACTAGTAATGTTTTCCTTGAATTATTCTGTTTAAATTTCACAGAACAAGCAGTGAAGCATATTTTGATTCAACATATGGTAAAAATTCTTTCCCACTCATTCTGACTTCATTGAAACTCACTGAATACTGCTTTATCAAAATCAGACAGAACAGGAACTTTGTACACGAACACAACAATGGGACACCATCGAGACTGTTTATTTCAAAGCTAAGTTCCCTTATTTGCATAAGTATAAAAACTTTATATTTATCCTAAGATCTTGAAAATCATGACAGGGTGTCTTTGAAGAAAACTAAGTTTTTTTTCCAAGTCAAACTACTATAATGCCTTTTGGTCAGGAACTTTTCAGGTTGGGTCATAATTTAGTGGTGTTCTGATTAATTGATTTTGTCCACTATTGGCCAGTTAGGCCAATAAATTGATTAATCAACTGCAGAATTCATTATCGATTTTAGTTGGAATTTTCAATAGTGGTTGATGATTTCAAGTCAAGCCTATCTCCTTGCTAGATACAAACAAGACTAAGTCCAGCAGCAGAAGTCTCCTGATATATACCACCAGCTGCTATGTTGGTATCATCACCAAGTTGCTTTAACTCTCATGCCTGCTCATGGTGGCTTAGGACTAGAAACTACAGAGTCAGTGTTTAAAGGGATGTAATTCTTACATGGTATCATTATTGATTTACAGATGTAATTTGTAACAACAGCATGGAGGATTGCGCAATGTATTTGTTTGAAATGATCATTAATCAACAGTAACCAATGATTGATCATAAAAATTTCAACCAATTTCCAACACTAAAGGACATGTTAAAATCTGGACTTCCTTTTCACTTTGTGCATGTACATATAACATGTTTAGCGGTATGTGTTTACCTGTAAACTTGAATCCATCTAGATTTGTATGGTAAATGAATAACTCTGGATAGCTGATCAGCTTGTAACTCGACCTGCATTCTCCATTTGGCCACCAGCAGTTGACAGCAACAAAGCGCACCTAATGAAATTATACAAAACCGAACTGTCAGCTTTGACAGCTTAACTATGAAAGGGGAGGTCACTCTGAAAATATCAAAAATAAATTTGTCTGCAGTGTGTGTGTGTGGTCAATCGTGATAAAGAACCAGTTAATATACATGTATAAAAGACTGTATAATACATTGTTTATAAAGCAGAATTTAACATTGTAGACTAGTGTGCAAAATTTTACACAATCTGGCCTGAACTTCCACTGAGCTGTATGAATTATTGCTTGAACGTTAATTCCAAAATGTAAAAATGATTACCAAAGACTTGTGGATTATTTTAATTGTACAGATAATTTCAGCTCTACAATATCTATTGGAAATTATCCAGATCAAAATTAAATTAAATACTATGAAATATGAACATTTAAAATGCATACATACAACATGTGCCTGAAAATTTATTTCTGAAATAAAGAGAATGCTTCAGTATCAATTTGTTTTCTATTTTAATCAAGGAATTAATGTTGATTCATCCATGGACACAATGTTCTTACCCTATTTTGAAAATACTTGGCTGCTATAGCAAATTCCGTTCGAATTTCTTTGGATTTTGAACACCATGGTGCGTAGTACATCATGAATATAATTTCTTCTTTGACAAGAAGGTTGGTTACAGGGTTGATGTTTCCATATGGAAAATCCAAAACAGCTGACCCCACTGGAAAGAATCTTTCAGGTGGTTTTGGGGGGATCACCATCTGTTTTCCTTTAAAACTGAAAACATTTGATAAGCTATTGTAGTTCTTTATACATTCAATGCAACATTTTAACTACGAAAATTTGACCTAGCCATATGAACAGTCAATCATCATTTGATGTCAGTAATATCACTTATGGTATACCGACAGGCCAGGTAGCCAAAGTTTCTTCTGGTCCCAAACCCCAGACTTCTGACATTTTGACAGATACATATCTGATGTAGAGTCAGATCTAGAATGCACTAATATATCAAATGTAGTATTCTTCAATACAATTTTAATTTAGTGACAGTAAATTTTATGGTACTGAAAGTTAAAAAGAAAATCTGCTATGACATGACACCTCAATAAATGAGTTGGTTATTCATTCAAATTACCGTTCCATTTCGTCTGAACAGTGCTTGGGAAATCAAAGTCTCAAAATCTGAGCAACGTCATTGCCAAAATTCTGTCAAACTCAATAAACCATGCATGCTCAGCCTCTTTTGTAAATGATGTGGATTTAACTGTAAATTGCCTGATCATACATAACAGATTAAATGTCGCTCCTATAGATATTAACCAGAAGACAGATGATACAGTTCCTGATAATCAAACGCCAAATCAAAAACCTATCACATCTGGAAGTAAGTAATTATTAACATGGCTAAAAAAGGATTTTGACGTAGTTATGTTGGCCTACTTTGACTGTGAGAGATTCAGTTGTGTATCGATTCCAGTTCCCAGTACAGTATTACTCATAAAATAGGTTTCATCTCTTACTTAATTTACTGTTAATTGTTTGGCTAATGGTATAGTGGAACTAATTGAGGGGCCTATAAAAGAGCATGCTCTTGGGTTGACAGCGACGATCAGCCGACCCGCTTCTCCAGGATAGGTGAACCTTACCGCTTCATGCTCTGTTAATAGTGCAACACAGGTTCAGGTGCTGCTAACAATACAATACCGTAGGTCTGCATTTGTAGGTAGGGTTATCGTTCCTTGGATATATAACGTAAGTGCAGGCAAATTCGTCATATTAGTAAGGGTTTCAGTTAATAATTTGTCCAAAAACACATGTATCAAAATGCCGATGAGGACCTGTACAGAGGAAAATTTGACTGAAATGCCTATAAATAAATATTGTTGTAAATACGCCTGAATGACGTCACGCAGCAACATATGTGACGTCATCAGGCCTTCCATGGTTTTGCTCAAAGATGCAGGCAGTTTCGCCACCAACTTTTCACTAACAATGTAAGTGTTTAAATGTAACATTTTACATGTTGATGTTACACAAGTCGTACTGATACGAGCAGCTCCAAATGTGTGTGTGGAACAATGAGTAAAATTCAAATAAATGTTTTTTCCTAGTTGTGATAGTTAATTTTCGAAGACTTGAAGAAACTGATTAATGCTGTTTGAGTAAGAAGGCTGGGATCGGCCTAGATGAGGTCAATTTAAATTTATAAGCATTGCAATAAAGACTCAGTCCTGAACAAATAAAAACTTCCAAATCGGTGCCAAAAATTATATTTTTCATCGGGTCTGGATGAGAGGCCCCCCCCCCCCCCTTTTAGATAATTTGTCACATGTACATCTCTGATCGTCTTGTCCCAGGTGTTGTAAAAGTACTTATTTTTTCATGTTAAAATCAGTCTTTTGTAACTGTCGGTCTCTACGTACAGCCATCATGCGTTTGTACCGGCAACATTGCTTTCAGGCCAACAACAAATTCTTTTCAAATATAAATCTAGAACATTTCTAGATGGTGTTTTAATTAAAGTGTCGTAAGATGGCTGAATTTTAGACGCAAACAACACTTTTTAAAAGATATTGGTTGATTTTTTTTCTTAACTATACACATTGCATGAAGATGGAAAATGAATTATCAAATCTTTCCGAGGGTCATTTTCATAAACAAGCATTGGGTCGTCAGTACAATTTACTTGCATTGACGGCTCAGTCGAGCATAAAACTGCAATTACCGTTGAGATATCGGTATTTTTAATTTGTATGTTATAATAATAATAATAATACTGGACATCATCATCATCACACTTTATTTCCTCCAAAAAGGAGATATTTGAGTACAAGAAAAAAAAGCAAAAATTACAAAAAGGACAGAAAATGCCGCGGTAGGGCGCAGCTAAAGAACTGTGTCCTCGCGAATGCGAGTAAAAGTCTTAGTCATGGTTTCTTAAATCATTCCATTCACTTGAGTTCGCGAAGCGCGCACGACAAAGTATGCTGCATGCATCAGAAACAGTTTTTGAGTTGTATCATCCTGAAATTGGGGACCTGTTTTTGCACCTAATAAATTGTGAACAAAGGTAGCAGTGTCATGTTGATCAATGTAATTGAACACATTCAATCCAAACTTATGCAGGATCATCTGAAGAAAATGAGCCCGGAGTTCGCTGGTGTACTCACAGGTACAGCAATAGTGAGATATGACGTCACAGAAATGCTGGGAACACTTGGAGCAAACGTTCTGGTCAGGTGGCGAAGGCTTTGCCAATAATCTGCACAATGAATAAATTTCTTCTATGTCTCTGTTAGATTTTGCTGCGCGCAACATAATGTACGGGTTGTAGGAGGAGTGACAGTTCCTAAATATATCAAAATCACGGTTGTTTCTTAGTCGATCTTTTAGGGTCAGGTTTTCTGTAGCCATTATGGAATTTCTCACTATTCCCTTCCACTGAAGCTTAGAGGGGAACGTGTAGTTACGAAGGTGTGCAACCAAGTAAGACGACAGGTTATATTTGTAGATTATCTGCACAATATCCGGAACAAACCCTCTTTCACGAACACTTCCAACATTTTCCGTTTGCAAATGAAGGAATGAATATAGTCTTCTTGTGAAGATCTGCTTAGTTAAGAGAGACTGCTCCATCAGAACAAGCTTTCCCAGAAATATTAGCTTCCTCTTATCAATAGCTGCAGAAATTCTAATCAAACCAAGTATAGGCTCAACAATATCTGACCTGGCACGACGATCAGCTCCAAGAATGACCTTAGCAGCGTAATGTTGAAAGCGACTAAGTTTCGCGAGGTCGGTATTACCGAGTTGAACCCAGTGCTCACATCCATATAGAATTGAAGGTAGTATCACTTTCTTATAAAGACTGATTTTTACTAAAGGATTGATATCACATGCTGAGGGACAAAGCCCTATGATAGAATGTAGCGTCTTTCTCCCTTTGTCACACGCAGCCTGGATGCGTTCGGCGTTAGACATTTGTGAGCTTACAATAGTTCCTAGATGAACTTGAGAGGAGGTGGTCTCAATAGTGACAGGTCCAAGCATCCAACTAGCATCAGGCTGTCTTGGGATGTAATTTCCAATAACAACAGTTTTACACTTTGAGTGATTAAATACGAATTTCCACTCACGACTGTATTCATAGCAAATGTTCAGAAGCTTTTGAAGTGAAAGCGGGGAAGTTGTGATCAAGGATATGTCGTCGGCTAACGTCGGATTTCCAGTTAATAAGCATTGGACTTTAGCACCAAGCTTACTATTCTCTAACTTGCAAAGAAGGGAATCGATGAATGTTTGGTATAGAAATGTCGACAGTACTCCTCCTTGTCGAACCCCTGACTCAACAGGAAACCAAGGTGACGTCGTTCCCTGCCACGTCACAGCGCTCACCATATCGGTGTAAGACTCGCGAATACACTGGAAGAGTTGTCCATTGACTCCAAGATCTTTTACTTTTGCCATTAGCCCTCCGTGCCAAACAGTGTCGAAGGCCTTTTTAATATCGAGAAAGGCTAAATAAACGGTGCTGTTTAACTCAAGGTTATGGTAAATCGTCTCCTGGAGAGAGAAAGACGCCGTCGTACATCCTAAAGATTTGCGGAAACCGTTCTGTTGTGGATTCGGGAAGGGAAGGACTGAAGTCGCCAGGGAGGCCTGTATCCGATTGCTGATGACCTTTTCAAATAATTTGTAGGAACAACATAACAGGGAAATTGGTCGATAATTAGCGGGATCACACCGAGACTTGTTACCACCNCGTTCACTTCCTTATTTTGTTCAAAGATGTCCTATTGTATGACATGCACTTTGGTCCTTGTACTCCAAATCACAGGCAAAGATGTTTTTAAGTAAAAAGACATTGTGGGATAAGTATGAAACTTTCACAAATTAAATATCATCATATAACTGTTAGCACGAAATAAGATAAGTCCGTGGTAATAGCTATGCCAAGTTACATGCTTATTCCCAAATGCCTTGTATGTACAGGCAGAACATTTGATAAAACAATGAAATCGATGAACTTTAACGACTAAAGCAGATACTTTCCTTGAGGCAGAGACGTATATAACACATGGCTTTATACGTCTCTGCTTGAGGCTAGGAGACTTAAAATTATCAGCAAATCAATCTTCATCTTTTAAACCACGGAATTAGATTAGATTGAATTTCTGTCAATTTTCATTCTGTTACATATGCTTGTCTAATTTATACATGTTTTCAAAAACAGAAATGGTACTATTTTGGTTTTTATGCTCATTTTGAAAACAGCAAAACTATATTTGTGATTTACCCTAACCCTTTTGGTACCCCCAGAAACCCACTTTCGGTCAAAGTTTTACCTTAGTTTTTTCCGCATGTCATACAATAGGACATCTTTGAACAAAATAAAGAGGTGAAAATCCGAATATACCGGGGCCCCAAAAAAGGCCTTATAGACACTCATCCTTTTGAGAATTATACCATACTATAAATTCCAAAAATGTATGTTCATTTTTCATAAAAAGGTACCATCCACCTTTCATTTCTTCTACAATTAAGTTGATATTTCTGCGACGTGGTTTTAAAAATAGAACGCAAAATATTATCAGGGTCATGGTAGACCCTTGAAAATATGGCAGATAGAAGTAAAAAAAAAACTTCTCTAAATGATATGATAATTCATGGTATTAAAGTAGTATTGGGTAGTATTGGGTATTTAGACGCGCCGTTGTGACGGTGATACTGTACTCTGAAAGGGACACTTTGATATTTTAGCTAATATTGAG